TGCAGCCACTGGAGACATCCACGAATTTTGCCATTCTGACACCTCAAAGAAGATCTTAACAACAGGATGCAATTTCAGCGACAGAGTATGTGGAGAACATTGGGAAGCTTTCACAATGTCTGCCATTTCTGTCTTGTGATCACCTTTGCCTGGTGATTTACGCATTCGTTAGGCTGGAATGACAGTTGCCACCCTGGGGTGCAGTTGACTCCAAAACCTTTGAACTGCAACAAAGGGAGACAGCACTCTGCCATACACTACGCGTGGCTGACAGGTGAGCCGGGGCTACAAACTCATCGCTTTTGGGATGCATACTCAGTTTGCAAATAAGCCTATCTACCACAGAGGCGTCTGTGAGTGGTCTAAAAAGCAAACAACGGCCGTATTGGTGTGAGTAGTGCAAGGCGCTCCGAACGTCAAGTCGAATACAGCCATGACCATGGAAAAGTAAGGAAGGATCCTGTAACCGATCGCCACCAACTATGGACGAATAAGTAAAGGGAATGCAAGAGAGCTGAATGTGAGTGCTGGATTCATCTAATTCTTCATTATTGCAAGTCCACACTTCAGTTGAATGTTGCAAATAGGAGACTAGACAGGGAAAAATGGATGGAGGCACTTGTCTGTAACAAGTAATCACAACAACCCTGGATGAACAACTCATCTAACAATAGTAAAACGACTTTCCATTTATTTCCAGCAGTAATTAGGCATAGCTATGCACTTAACCATTGATGATTACCTCGAAAAGCCGCTTTCGCAAGTGAGTGAATTCTCCCCCACTTTGCAAAGGGCATTCTACTAAATAACAGCTGGCCTTCCTCCATCAACGGCATGGTGTCGTTTCCTCGGAAAATGCTCACTTGCCATTTCATAAAACAACTACCAATAATGCAGCCGGCAATCATTTGGGACAAACTTGTAAATATAACATTTCTCCTTCATCAATTGTAGTTACTGGAGTTCGAAAAGCATTTGCAACTTCTCGTTGATGACTAATAGTTTGTCTACCACCACCTTGTTATTGACTCCAATTTTCGAAGATGCTGCAAATTACCTTCAGCCATGCCAGCAAATTCTCCGCTGACCAAGAACCAGAAATGCAGGCGGAAATAACAGGAAAAACAGTCACATAATGACATACTAGGCAAAGGCAAAATAACACCAACCAGTTGCAGAACATCCTGGACATTGTACACACACAATGTAACAGTCCCCACCAGCTGTTTGACACATTCGCCATACAGAAACCAGGAACACCGATGAAACGAACCATCGGCCACTTCCGAGGTGAACTTACACCAGTGCTTTCAACAGCATCGGATTTGCAAAACTCGTAAGGATCGTGCTTTCCAATCTTCAATCGTTTAAACAATCAACCGCTATAGAAAAAAATAACCACCCGTACAGCTGCTCAAGAGACGATGCGCCAAAGTAGCCAACTATCGTAATCGTAATTATACTAAACAACTAAGTAGTATATCCGCGTCTTCAAAGAACAAGTGGTCACTGCATTTAAGATGCTAGCAGCGTACTACCCTCGGGTCGCAGTAGGTGGGTGGTTGGGGAGATGGATAAACGCATCAGAAGTGCATGAATGCATGAATGGGGCCAGAATGAATGAATCGACAAGTAATACCCCCGGAATGGACGGATCTAAGACCAATATGCAAATCAATGCGTTCAAGGTAGAAAGTTGAGGCGACTGACAAATGCTTCCAGGATCGGTTAATAAACACTTGAGCAAATAGCACTAGAAAGTACTAGTAAATGCGAGTGTTCGAGTTCAGTGAATGAGCAAAGCCAAAACTAATGAATGGGTGGATGTATCTGCAATAAATCGGCGGATGCCTGAATGGACGAATAAACGAATAAGTGGATGAACGGACGAATC